TTTTTTTTTTTACTTAGAGAAATATAAAAGCTAGAATATAATGTGTGGGTTTATGTGAGAGAAAGGATAGTCAAAATAAAATAAAATAAAATAAATAATAATAAGAGCAACATAGAAAGTATTAGACATTATACATATAAAAAAGATACCAGGTTGATGCCTACTAAGTAACAGTAGAATTATATTACTCTCGTGTCATTTCTAGGATTAACAGCAACAACATAAAAAGTTTCTGGGATGCTAATTTTGTAAAGAGGAAGGTTAAATTTTATAAAAAATAAACTAAAAGACAATATTTTCAAGAAGTTTCATACACTCTAGTTCTGGTGCTCTGCCTTATAAAGACATGTTAAATTAGCGATGTTTGTCATTGCTTCTCACATTGCAAATGATTGAAATGTTGTTGCAGAAAAACTGTGAGGCAGGACCAACAGGTTCATCAGCCTGAGGGACTGTGCAGCCACTGCTTGTGGCTTCTGATTTTACTAGCATTTTCACCTCCTCAAAATGAGCACCACAGTTTTCTATCCCCCACTACATCTGTCATACAAGCTTCAGATCAGAGCAAAGAATAGGGACAAATGCCACCCACTCAAGTGCACTTGATGCTCTACCAACTGTTAGCAGTCTCTCCATTCACACATTTCTAAAGGTAAATGACTGGTAAAGAACATTATTTTCCTGCAAAAATCCCCCTCCCTACAGTGCAAGAAGCTATTGCTGTTATCTTGAGATAAACAGAGAACATAGAGGAAAAATATAAAAATAGGAAAATGGGAATCATAGCACCAGAAGCCTGAAAATAAAGGAGGGAGGCCATCTCATCTATTCAGATATATATATCATCTATTCACTCATTTATTCATTCAACAGGTATTTGTTGAGCAGACTGTGCACATAACTGATACTTAAATAGATAAATATAAAAAATAGTTAATATTCAGGTATAGTTGAAGAGGCAACAATAAATGACTAGTTTCATTATATTATATTACTAGTGATCTGGTGCACAAAATTTGTGTACATTAAAATATAATTAATTAGAGGAAATATTTTAATATTTTCCCTTTCTCTATAATGGAAGTGTCAGTGATGAAAGAAAATTAGTAAAATATATATGAAAATCTTCCTCTTATCAAAGTCTGGGGTGCACTATGGGAACTAGAGTCAAGTCCCCACCCACCCATGTGTGCCTTGAAATTGCATGAGACCCAGACCCAGCCAGCCCACCCCCATTGGGCTAGATCCAGACCCTCTGGCCCCACCCCTGTCAAGCCCCAGCAGGGGTGGGACATGGCCTCAGGTCACCTGGCCTGGTGCTGGGGCAAGAGGTGCAGCCTGAGATCCCCTGGCCCGAAACAGGGGCATGGTCTGAGGTCTCCCATCAAGCCCTGCCAGGCAGGGGGTGCAGCCTCAGGTACCCTGGCCTGGGCTGTGGCAGAGGCCACTCATTGAGGTCTTGGTCAAGCCTTGCCAGGCAGGGGGCAATGCCTCAGGTCTCCTGGCCCACCACCAGGGTGGGGACATGGCCTCAGGTCTCCAGACCTGCGCTTGGGTGGGGGCCGCACCTTGAGGTTCTCCTTCAAGCCTTGTGGGCAGGGGCCTCCGCCTGAGGTCCACTGGCCTGGTGCCACTGTGGGGGGCATGGCCTGAGGCCCCCTGTCAAGCCCCACCAGGTGGGGGCACAGTCTCTGGTCCCTGCTGATTGCTCGTTAAGGCCCCTTATGGGAACTCGGCCTCTGCTGTGGGCACATCCATTTTGACCGTTATGGTGTGATGGTCAATTTGCATCTCTTTATTAGATAAGATTATATTAGAGGACCTCAATTATATGTTATTTTTACAGATTTGATATTCTTGTGTTCCTCCTGTGATGAGTATTTCAGCATAAATAGGAAAAAATATATCTATATAGGAAGATAGATTAAAAAAAAAAAAAGTCAACTTTCTTAGACCATAACTACAAAGGCAGGGTTAAACACAGGTGCACCTGGCTGAGATGAGGGGAAGATCATAGGCAGAGGAGGATACAGCTTTGGAGAAAGTAAATCAACCCCCAACCCTATTCAATGTCATTACAAAAACTCTCTTGGAGATATATCAAGATCTCAGTAAGACCCTGGGGAGACTATAGTGACTTCCTACCTCCTACCTGGGTGGTGATCACTTATGCTTCAGGACCTCCGAGTATTATGGACAACCAGTTTAATGATCAGCAAATGAGTTGATTTTTGAGTAGATAACTGACACCTGGCAGATATGAAATCTGCTCATTTTAATATGAGTCTCAGGGAAATGAGTCCCAAGGCTTGCTCAGGGACACACAGCAGATGAAGAACAGTAGATATTTAAAGTGCAGATTTCCTGAAGGCCAACCTTTTCTAAAGGGCTGTTTTTCAGGAATCTTCTGAAAAAAGTGACCTAGCACCCTTTGCCAATTCAAGTGTGTTGTCTAAAAAATAATTCTCCTGGAATTTCAACTACAGGTAGGCCATTCTCTTCCTTATTCCTTAAGTTACATCCAGCAGTACTGGAGTTGTTTCAGCTTGACAGCTGATTGTTGAATTCCAGCTGTTCCCTCTGTGCAACTAGATGACATCACACTTGTTGCCCATGAGGGAAGGGTCTGCACTATAAAAACCAGTGCTGGAAAGATCATTGTCAAACATTTACCAGCACACCACTGATTATATCAGTTGCTAAATTTATAATTGGATGAAATATTCACTGCATCAATTTTGAACATTCATTCATTGGACCAACTCTTTGCAGCAGAAGCATGGTCTAAATATAATGACCACACTTATCAAATATTAACAATGGGTATTATTTTGTTTCTGAGTCACCTCAAACTTCCTGTGAATGGACCACTTGAATAATAAGAATACAAGTTAAAGTCAGCATCATCTTTAAGTCTTGGTCTTTAAAAGCTTAAGAATCTACTAAATATCCAAATCCTGTAAACAACTAGAATTTGAATGTTTGGGATCATAAATGTTCAACTCAATGCCAGTTCTTTGCCTTCCCACAAATCTGAACATGCAGCCCATTCCAGATTTGAAAAATGTACCTTAGGGGAGGAAAAGACCACGTGTTACTTCTCTCCCCTGCCTCAGTACAATGACATAAACCACCCCAGAGAAAGAAGCTCAAACCCTGTTTACACAGAAGGTTTCTAATTTTACCTGCTTTCTTAAAGTAATTTTGGTTTATCATTTTATATGCTAAGTTATCTTGAATCACTATATCTGCTAAATCAGATGATCTGCTCATTTTCTTCTGTATAGAAGGAATAACACTTTGAATTTACCATGAAATTGAAGTCTTGCAGCAAATAGTAAGTAGTGGTGGGTAACTTTTTAAGTCTGAATGTTTTCCCATTTGATTTACTTAATTGAGCTAATGGTTCGATTCTAGGATCAGTTGAACAATCTGGTAGCTAAAGTCATCATTAGATATTTTCTTAGCTACCCCAATATTGACCCTTACATTTTTTCCCTTTATTTCAAATTACCTTTGAAAACATGCGGCATGTCAGAAGCCCTAATAGGAAGCATGTATGAAATGATGTTTATGGGAAATCTTTTTTATACTAGTAGGTTTTATAAAGTCCTTTTAAGTGTTGAGAGAAAATAGTGAAACAAATTACAAAACAAAACAAACATAGTGCAGAATCTAAGAAGAGGATTTTGTCTTGGAAAATACCAGAATCAACAGATACTAGAATTATTTAGAAATTCGTTACCTCAATCATTTCATGTTATGGTTGAGAAAAACAAGGCTGCAGATGATAATTAACTTATAAAGATAACACAGCTAATAGATGGCAGCTAAAATTAGAATCCATTTGTTTTCCATTAAAACATATACTTCTTGTACTAGTCTATTAAAATATGTTTTACTTAGGATGCACTTACACTCTAAATTCCAAGTGGCTTAAGCCATTTCTTCCACTTCATATCCTCTCCTAGTCTCCCTTCCCCACCCCTCCTTCTCATAAACATAAATTATAATTCATTTGCAATATCACTTTGAAAGCACTGAACTAGCTGCTGAGGATGGGAGGAACCATATCACTACTGACAGTTTCTGACCTCAGTTTGCAGCTTGGTGAGGACAGTGTGTTGTATCACAGATGATATAAGTGGTAAACAAGGAGAGAGAGAGAAAGAAGCATTGCTGAGTGTGGGTTGAGTATGAAGGAAACCACTTTTTGGACTCCAAGGTGGGCTATTAATGTTATGTTAAAGGCTGGAAACTCACAAGTGAGCAATTAATTGCCTATTGGCTTAGTCAGTTTAAGGTATAATCCTCAGTTTCATAATTTTTTTTCTGTGTAATAAAATTTAGGGATGATGATTTTTGTTAAATTCACAAGAGAATGACTGACTGCACCTAACAGCATCTTGTTAAATTGCAACATGGGAAATCATTGCCATAGGGACTGGAATACCTGTCAACTGGCCATCACATTCTCTACCCTGCAGGAAAACCTCTGTGCTGCTCAAACATGCATTATTTATCTTGTATGTCCAGCACTTGGTGTAATGTTTGTTACAATGAAGGTGCTGGAGAAATGTATAGTAAATAAATGGATAAATAAAAGGAGTACCCAAAGGCTGCTTGTTGAGTGAGTTGGATGCTTCTAAGAAAGAGTGTTAGCTCACAATCGTAAGTGTACATTGAGGCTATGAAGGATCTTCACTACATTCTGCATCCAATCAAGTCAGAAGCAATGACAAGGCCACATATCTGGCCTTCCAAGGATGAGAGTTATACTGTGTACCATGGTGAAATTATTCAGGCAGTACCTTCTTGTGAGGACAAATGAAAACTTGGCAGCTGGTCCTCCTTGGCATTTTCCTACCCTCATCTCCTATCTCCATTTGAAACATCTCGAGCCTCTGTTATCTGAGGAAGCCCTCTCTTCTGTAGGAATTATTTCCAGAGTTAGCAGAACACCCATGTGAACTGAACTGAGCAGGATAGCTTCCTTCTTCACAAGTTCCTGGGATGATTGCAGCAGGCTGCTGGGGTGTGGTGGCAGTTGCTGAATTCCAAAATGACTGAATTATTGCTGGTGGATGTTTTCCTTCAATCTACCCAAAGCATGAGGACAGCAAAATGAACTGCAGGTAGGTCATACTGGCTCATCCTCTGCCAGTGGTTCTTTTGCATTTTCTCTTTCCATTTAGAAGGTAAATTGACTAATTTATAATATAGTTGAGTTTTTTTCTGTTAATTTTAAAATTATGTACAATAATACTGACTTTTTTAGTACAGTTCTATGAATTTGAACATATGAATAGAATCATGTAACCTCAACTACAATTAGGACAGAGTTTAGTTACATTGGTTTCCCTAAATTCCCTCACACTGTCATTTTGTAGTCAGACACCCTGCCCACCCCCCAACCTTTGGCAATTGCTGATTTAGTCTTTGTCACTAGAATTTGTCTTTTTCAGGAATGCTGCATAAATTGAATCATACCTTTGAGACTAGCTTCTTTCACTCAAACATAGTGCCTTCAATATTCATTTAAATTGTTGCATGCATCAACAGTTCATGTTGAGTAATATTCCATTGTATGACTGTCAGGTGTCTTCCAGAGTGGCTGGACCATCTTCCTACCAGCAGTGTATGAGAATTCCTTGCCAGCATCCTTGCCAGCCCTTTGTATTGTTTGACATTGTGATAGGAATGCAATACTCACTTGCTGTGGTTTTAATTTGTATTTTCTTAATGACTAATAATGTGGAGCATCTTTTTCATGTGCAGATTTGCCTTGTCTATACCCTCTTTGGTGAAGTGTCCATGTGAGTATTTTGGGTTGTTTGCTTTATTATAGTTGGATTTTATGCATAGAGCAAATATTTTTAATTTTCACAAAGTCCAGTTCTCACATTTTTATTCATTGCTGTCATGTGTAAAACTGCTCTTGGCCTAACTCCAGATCTTAAAGATGTTCGCCTATGTTTTCTTCTAAACATTGTCTAGTTTTACAGTTTACTTTTATACCTATGATCCATCTGGGTTAAATGTTTTTAGCCCAAGAATGAAGTCAAAGTTTATATTTATTTTTTGCAAGTGAATGTCCAATTGTTTCAAACACATTTATTAAAAACGTCCTTTTCCCATTGAATTGCCTTTGCTCCTTTGTCAAAATTCAACAGGCCACATTTGTGTGTGTCCATTTCTAGACCCTCAATTCTGTCTCATTAATCAATATCTATTCTTTATCAATAACATACTGTCTTGATTACGATGGTTTTATAAAATCAGTTTTAAAATCATATTGTATGATTGCTTCAACTTTTCTTTTTAAATAACATTTTGGCTATTTTAGTTCTTTTTTATACCATATAAATTTTAGAGTCAACTTGTTGATATTTACATAATTCCCTGCTGGGATTTTTAGAGGAATTGCATTAAACCTGTTCATTAATTTATCTTTACTATGTTGATCCTTTTAATCCATGATCATGATATGTCTCTCCACTTATTTAGGTACTTGATTTCTTCTCCTGGTGTTTTATGTTTTCTGCATGCATATTCTGCACACATTTTATTAGATTTATACATAACCCCTCTATTTTTATGAGCTATTATAAAGTATATATTTTATTTATTTCAGTTTCCAATTATCTGTTGTTTTTATTAATATGTAGAAACACAATTATTTTTTCAATATTTATTTGTTGAAAGTTTTACAGATGCCCCTTATTTTTCCCCCATTCACTCCCTCTACCCTGCTCCCACCCCTTCCCCAGGCATTCACTGCACTATTGTCTGTGTCCATGGCTCATGCATATATGCATGTAAGTTCCAAGGTTAACCTCTCCCCACACCCCTGCCCTCTTCACTGTGAAATACATCACTCTGTCCCATGCTTCAATGTCTGTGGCTCTATTTGGTTCATCAGTTTATTTTGTTCATTAGATTCCACATATAAATGAGATCATGCCTTTTTCTGATTGGCTTATTTCACTTAGCATAATACTCTCCAGATCCCTCCATACTATCTCAAAGGCTAAGAGGTCCTTTTTTTTTTTTTTTTTTAAAGCTGCATATTATTCCATTGTGTAAAAGTACCACAGCTTTTTATCCATTCATCTATTGATGGGTATTTGGAATGTTTCCAGATCTTAACTATTGTAAATAATGCTTTGAACACAGGGTGCATATATTATTTCTGATTGGTATTTCAGGATTCTTAGGATATATTTCTGGAAGTGGGATCACTGGGTCAAATGGCAGTTCCATTTTGAATTTTTTGAGGAAACTCCATACTGTTTTCCATAGTGGTTGTACCAGTCTGCATTCCCATGAAGAGTGTAAAAGGGTTTCTTTTTTATCTACAGCCTCACAAATACTTGGTTTTTGTTGATTTATTGATAGCCATTTTGTAAAGTGTGAGTTGGTGCCTCATTGTAATTTTAATTTGCATCTCTCTGATGATTAGTGATATTGAGTCCTTTTTCCTGTCTCTTGGTCATTGATATGTCCTCATTGAAGAAGTGTGGAGGGGGAAAAGGGTGAAGGGAGTCAATGGGGAAAAAATAGGGGACATCTGTAATACTTTCAACAATAAATATGCATTTAAAAATTAATTCTGCATGCACATTTTGCATATGCTTTGTTAGATTTATAACAGTAAATTAAAAAGCGAATTGGCTTTTTTTGTCTTTCTTTTGTTGAATTGTATGAGTATTTTATATATTTTGGTTATTAATCCCTTATCAGATATATTATTGGCAAATATGTTCTTCTATTCAATGGGTTCCTTTTTCATTTTGATGCTGGTTTCCTTTGCTGTGCAGAAGCTTTTTAGTTTGATATAGTTCCATTTGTTTATTTTTCTTTTGTTTCTCTTAACCTAAGTGAAAATGTGAGATGGCTGATATTTTACTGCCATTGTTTTCTTCTATAATTTTATGGTTTCATGACTTACATTTAAATATTTTAACCATTTTGAGTTTATTCTTGTGTATGGTGTAAGTTGGTGGTCTACTTTTATATTTTTGCATGTACCTATCCTATTTTCCTGGCACTATTTATTGAAGAGACTGTTTTTACTCTATTGTATGCTCTTGCTTTCAATGTCAAATATAAATTGAGCATAATGGTTTGGGTATATTTCTGAATTTGTGGAAACACAATTAATTTAGGGATATTGACCTTATATCTTGAAATCTAGCCAAACTTATTTATTAATTTTAGAAGTATTTTTTGTGAATTTCTTGGGATTGTCTCTAAATCCCTTGATATATCTGATTTAAAAAAATCTATAGTTATTTGCCTTGTTGTTCCCCTATATAAATAATTTAATGTTTTCCCTGGTTGCTTTCTTGTTCTTCATTTAGTTCTCAGAAGTTTTACTATGATATATTTGTATGAATTTTTTTTGTTATATCTAGCTTAGGGGTCACTGAGTTTCTTGTCTTTCACCAAATTATGAAAGTTTTAGCCATTATTTCTGCAAAATGTTTCTTTTTCTAAATCTTATTTTTCTTCTGGAATTCTGATTATATGCAGATTAGAACTTTGGCATTGTTTCATGCCCTCCAACCCACTTCATGGTTTTTAACTTTTTTTTTCCTGTGTTTAGATCACATAATGTCTATCCTGTCATCAAGTGCACTAATTTATTTTTTTTTCTCTGAGCATAAATAGTGTGTGTGTGTGTGTGTGTGTGTGTGTGTGTGTGTGTGTGTTTTCATGTTGGCTACTATATTTAACTAGAGGCCCAGTGCATGAAATCATGAGCATGTAGGGTCTCTAGGTCTAGCCTGCGATCAAGGCCATCTTGCAGCTGCTCATCAGTCCTCAGTCCCATCCCGCTGCCACCCACCTTGGTTCCCTGTGGTTCCCTGTTCGCCATCCAGCAATGGCAGCCTGTGGGCCAGGGGAAAGGACAAAGAGGTCTGCCTTCTGCCTACTTGCCAGTCCCCAGTCTAGGGGGGAGGGCCTAAGAGGTGGTCAGTGCAGCTCATAGCAACTGATTTTTACACCATTATGGTCGCTGGGTTTTTATTATATAAGAATAATTCTAAAGTTTTCATTTAACAGTTCTGAAGTTTTCTTTTTTTTTTTTTTAATATCTTCTCTTTCTTTGATGATATTTTCTATTTTAATTTTGTTTCAAGAATGTTGTTATTGTTCAACCATTTTTATAGTAGCTGCTTTAAAGTCTTTTGTTAGAGAATCCAACATCTATATAATCTCATTGTTGTATCCATTGTCTTTTTTCCATATCAATTGATATTTTCCAGATACTTTTTGTCACATAATTTTGAGTTTTATTCAGAATATGCCAAGTAATATATCATGAAGCTTTGCATCTTGATTAAATTCTATGAAAAATGTTTGAACTATTTTTGTTTCTGCAAACAAACATCTGGTCTGGTTCGGTGATAACTATCCTCATTTGAATTGTCATTGCAACAGCAGTGCTACTGATTGGTTTTCAAAACCTCTGCAGTGCTCCTCAGACCTGTCACACATGTGTACACCCCACCTAAAGGCCAGTCTGGGACATTGGAGGTAGTTTATCCTTTAGCTGAACTCTCATCTCTCAAGGTCTACCTGCCTATGCCCTTTAGATATAGATCCAGACATGATCAGCTGGTTAGCAAGGTAGCGCAAGGAAGGGGTTCATAAACAACTTTAAAAGTTTGCTTCGCTAAGCTCCTTCTTCTCAGTAATAACCACAGTACTTTTACTTCTCTGTGCTCTCCTTTTTACTCCTTTAGCAAGGAAGTGAAAAGTTACCTCACTCTAATATGTACTTCCTGTGACTATGCCTGTATCCACCCACACACTGACAAAAAATTTAATTAGCTATTGTAAAAATAAATAAATAAATAAATAAATAAATAAATAAAGCAATTAGGATTTCCCCTCCCTTCTTTGGATCACAGTTTCCTCTCTTACAGTTTTAGATAATTACACAATCTTATTTCCCAAACCACCACTGCAAACAGTAGGATGGCTTTGGGGCTAAAGTGTGAGGAAACAGAGAAAGCATAAAAACAAAGAAGATAAAAACAATAACAGGATTTTCCCAACTCTCTCTGAAAGTTAAGGGTATCCCTCATGCTCTCAGAGCCAGACCTTGAGGTGTCCTGGAGCTCTCTGAGTCTGCCTCTAGATCTCTACTTCTGCTTTCAGGCTGCACTGAGTTTACACCAGGTACACCAAAGAAGAGGTAAAATGGCAAACTTGCTTCCAGTTTAGTGGCACATGGAATTTGGACATGGTCCCAATTTGTCTGCTTCTATTTACTTTGCAGAGTTCTCAAACAGCTGCCAAATTATGCAATCAGGCAGAAAGTACTTCCTCCATCTCAATGAGCTGGAGCCTTGCTGGTGGATTTTTAAGTCTTATTCTCAAAGGAAAGGCTGATGACTGACTATGGCCTTGAATCCAATAGATTCAATATTGAGGACACTTGTTTGAACACTTTTATTTTAATATATAAAAACACTGGGTCCATCACATCCACAAGAGGAAGCTCGACCAACCCGAAGTCAGTCCTGTAGTCAGTGCTGGGTTGCCGTGGCAACAACCCAGCACTGACTGCTACAGCTGCAGGCACTGTGACCAAGCACTGAATGCTGAAAGGTCTTTGAATCAGACTGGGAGAGAGGCCTGAAGAGAGAAGCAGGTTCTGATCTGTAGCCTCTGTGGCAGCTATTGATCAACACTTGCCTCTCTCTTTCTCTCTGGTCCTGGCCAGCAGCTACATCTCCATTTCTCTCCAAACCTCCATCAGCCCCACCTTTCTGATCAGGCCCCATTGATAGACCCAGAGATGCTGACTGGCATGGAAACTGACCAATCAGAACCAAATCTGGGTGAAATGTGGGGAACCAATGGCTTCCTAGGAGGCAGAGCTTTTGACCTGACTGTCATAGAAACTGACCAATCAGAACCAAATTGACCAGTAGAGGAGGGCAGTTGGGGATGAGATCAGGCCAGCAGGGGAGGGCAGTTAGGGGTGACTAGGCCAGCAGGGGAGTGGTTAAGGGCAATCAAGCAGGCAGACAGGTGAGTGGTTAGGAACCAGCAGTCCCAGATTGTGAGAGATATGTCCAAATGTTTATACTGGCATTTGTACATCCTCCACAGCATCCCAGATTGAAGAGGGTGAGGCTGGGCTGAGGGACACTGCCTGTCAGTGCACAAATTTCATGCACTGGGCCTCTAGTTTTTATATATTTTCAAACTTCAAGAAAAGTTGCAAGAATAGTAAGGATAGTATAAGAAACTCATAATCTTTACTCAGATTTATTAAATGTTTTACATTTTGTCCCATCTGTTATATCATTCTCTCTTTTCCTCCTCCTCCTACTCCTCCACCTACTCCTCCTCTTTCTTTCTTCTTCTTCTTCCCCTTCTTCTTCTTCTTCTTCTTCTTCTTCTTCTTCTTCTTCTTCTTCTTCTTCTTCTTCTTCTTCTTCCTCTTCTTCTTCTTCTTTTTCTTCTTCTTCTTCCTCTCTCTGTCTCTCTTTCTCTCTCCAATTAATTTCTCTCCCTGGGTCATTGAAGACTAAGTTGGAGACATTATATATTTCCTAAGAACAGAGAACATACTTTGACCTTGGAATAGTACACTATCAAAGTCAAGGATTTTAAAATTGACATAATGCCATTGTTTAACCCACAGTACATATTTAAATTTCAAGATAATGCATTTCATTTAGTTTTTGTTTCTTTAGTATCCTTAATCAGGAACGAGTTTACTTATATTTTCTCATACCTAGTGTCCGTCTATGAATTTTTGGTAGGAATACCACAAAAATGATGTTTTGTCTTTCTCAGTGAATCACAGCAGGAGTGTCTTGCTGTCAATTTGTCCAAATATTTGTTTTATAACTTGAGGTAGCATTGACCAAGCTTATGCATAAATAACTAATAGTGTTTCTTCCCTAGAACAAGTTTAAGGGAGTGGTGGAGGCTTGCTCTTGTGAAATTTCTTTCTCTTGCTTTGTTTAGATTAGTAGTTGTTTTGACCTAACATCTAGGGAAAAAATTACTTGCAATCTGCCTGGAATAAAAATAAGCCCTGGATATACTCTTCTGCAGTGTGCTTGTTATTCCCAGCTGAGAGCTGTGTGGATGCCTGGGTAGCAGTGGGTCTCTCCTCACCACCTTCTGGGCAACCACCCATAATTCTTCATTCCTGTGGTGCCCAAATGAATGGAGACTAACCAGCTCTGTGAGTGGAAAGGAAAAGATTTGTAGTATGACCTGGCCCCAATTTTCATGGGAAAAAAAAGTCTATCTTAAATTTTACTTTTGGTTTTCACAATAGTCCACTGAAAAAAAAGAGCATGTTTTTTTTTAAATCAATTTTAGCCACATAACCATTCAAGAGAGTTCACTTCCTGAAAGCATTCACAACCCCACCCCTCAGCCTCTGCTGCTATGTAGTGTCTGATCTTGCACAAGCTGTAGATGAGTTGAGACAAGTAATCAATATTTCACTTATATATTTATAACTCTACTGTAATGCAAGTCTGACAAAGTAAATGTCCATTAAGGAAAAAAAAAAAAAGAAATTTGCACCAGGGCTTTTCACATGGCTTCCTGCATGTATTTGCTTTGCACTAACGAATTGAGGCCAGGTCCTCAAAGACTTCATGATATTCAGGTCAGTCCTGATTGAATGTGATTCCATCTCACTGTGCACCTCACAGCTATTAGTATCCAACTTCCAAAGTTACAGAAGGGAGATGAGGAAACAAATATAGCACTGAGCCCATGCCAGGTGAAGACTATTGACTTAAATTTCATTTCCCCAGCAGTTTAAAACATTTAAAGGATAAATTATGGATTAGATCTTTGTTCTGGTTTACTAGTCATAATATTTTGATATACTCCTTTCAGATACTTGAGGACTTCATCTCAGCACTTTAATAGCAAGTAGCTTACATTCCTGGATTTTTCTAGATTTTTCTCTCAATGGAATTCAGACATATTACAAACAAAGAAATACCCAATATTTGACTTGTGGTAAGTGGAGAGGAGAATGACTCAGGGCTATGGAATACTTTCTCCAGTTCTTGCTGCTTGAGTGGCCAGAAGTTCCTTAGTACACATATGCAAAGTCTATGCATTTTCTCTCAGTTTAAGAAAAGTGATGTGCCCTGGGAAAGACCATAGTGAGGATTTCTCTACCCAACGTGGAGTATTTTGTCACCTTTCGTGGCATTCTACTGCTTTAACTCTGGCTCTCACTAGTGATGCTACCCACTTTCACCATGAGCAAATTTGCAATTTTTGGTATGTTTATACAAGTTTGTGGCCATAATCTGTTATATTACAATATTTCACCTTTTGTCTGGCATTCCTGTGATGCTTTCTTTTTTACACTCCTCTTTGCCGTATATGTTCAGATTCACACTTCACTCTTCATTTCTCACCTTTCTTTCCTAATCTGTCTCTTATTAGAATTTCTTATTCTTTTCAGGCATCTGCTGGAGAGATGAAATACATTTGAAACAAGCCCCCAGAGACCTTGGGCTATATCTGTTTTGGAAAGGCCACTCAGTCCCAACCAGTCTGGGACTTTGGCAGCAGACATGGGCAGAAAAAGGGTGCTTCCTGAGGTGTCCTGAGAAACTGACCTACCACGTTTTTGGGTTGATCTTCATATTTGATGGGGGCAATCACATAAATGGAATCTAACTCCAAATTAGTTCTGAGGGCCTGGATTTCTCACGTCCTAGTTAGAGAAAGAATTTGCAGTAGTTACTGCAAATGCATGCAGGAAGGTGGCAAGAAAGAGAGTATGAGTCAGTGTTATTTCATCAGAATTTTCTCATCAATGTTCTTTCAGAGCTCCAAGGAACTCTTCAGCTTCTCACTTTTCTGTTTGTTTTTATTTTCTCTTTATTTATAATCTTAGACTCATGACACTTTGAAGTTAACATGTACCTCAAAGGTGATCTAGTCTAGGCCCCTGTTTTAGTAGTTGAAAATGTACCTAAAGAGGACACAGGACCATGGAAAAGAATAATGGGAAAAAATACGGGTTTTTAAGTCAGAGGGACTGGAGCTCATTTTGGCCCCATTTATTTAATTTCTCTGTGCCTTAGTGACTCATCTGTAAAATGATATTGGTCACACATACATGCCGTTTTAGAGGAATGAATGAGATAACATGCTGAGCACCTGGGACAGTGACTGGAATGTATTGGGCTTTGAATAACTAGTAACCTCCTTTTTTTCCCTCCAAAATAAATTTTTTCTCTTTATTTTCTTAAATGACTCTTTCAAGAAACTACCTTTCTTATTCTCTTGCTTTCTAGCTAGTTCTGTCTTTCTCCCTGTTTCTGTTCATAATGAATTCACAATCCTACTTATAGCTCTCCTCTGGCTTTCATGTTCATCCATTCACCAGAGGTTTTTTTGTTTTATTTTTTAATAGATTTTTTATTGATTTTGGAGAGGAAGGGAGGGGGGCAAGAGAGAAACATCAATGATGAGAGAGAATCATTGAGCAGTTGCCGCTTGATGCCCCATACTGGAGATTGAGCCCAAAACCTGGGCATGTGCCCTTACCAGGATTTGAATTTTAAACCTCCTGGTTTATACTCCATTGCTCAACCATTGAGTGACACTGTTCAGGTACCAGAAGTTGTTTTTTTTTTGTTTTTTTGTTTTTTGTTTTTTTAAAGACAACTGGAAGCATTTCTTTATTCCTACCCTCAAACGATTTCTCTCCCTTTGAGTTCTCATCTTACTTCCTGTTTCCATTACTCACATCATCTTTCAATCCTGGTATCACTGGTTCTCCTTGTGTGCATGTGTTATACCTATTGAAGCTAGACTGGAAAATTCATGAGAGCTAGAATCACCCTATATATTATTTAGTTATTATTCCTTATTAGATCTCCTGATTTTCTCCCTCACATGATAGATACACAATTAATATTCATTAATGGATTAATGTATTCCTGTTACCCTTTCCAAAGACACCTTCTCCTATAGCTTCTTTACTAAGGGGACACATAAACATGGAGTAAATATTTGGCTGCATCTTTACAGCTAATTAAATGTCTCTGAGTAAAACCACACTAAGTAAAGGGTGCAGTCCTTGACTTTGGTGTCCAGCAAACTCACACTGTCATGGTGAATGGTTATGGAGAGACCACTGCCTCTCCACGTTGGCTTCCTATATTTGCATCAAGGAAGCACAGAAGCTTGTGTCCATAGTGATGAACTCTGCATTTCCTTCTTGAAACAAAACTATTTCATATTTATCTATAGGCCATCTCAGAGATGCATCAATTAGCAATGTCAAGGCCTTAGTAAGTCATCCAGGCTGTCCCCTGTTCCCCACTGTGCCTTTTCAGGCAGCTTCATCCCTTTCACTTCAAGCCCTTCAGATTGAATTTACAAATAGATTTTAAATGGGATCACCTCAAGTTGAATTCCTGTGCTCAGTGAGATGTTAGCAATGTATTATTTGGGTTGTATAAAATGGGAGTTTAGTGAGGTTAATTTCTCCTTCTTCCTTACCTTGGGCTCATTATTTAATAAAGTATGTGCAGACTTAGAACTTCTCATAATTCATCCTGCTTTCTGTTTCTTTAGAGTCCAAACTCATAAATCACTCTTTGTGATGACATAATCAGTTCCTAGGGGCATGTGTTGGTACTGCCAGCTGAGAATTACAGCTCCAGACTCCAAGCAAACTTAGAGACTCATTCAAAGAGTTATACCCCATCCTTTGCTTCCTTTACTTGATGAAGTATCAAGAGCTAATGTACCCAAACACATTCACAAGTGGGAGTAGCCACAACATATCCAACTAAGAGAACTTGATGATTATTTGGAAACACAAACTCCCCAAATTTTATGACAACAACAGAAAATGAACATGCCCCACAGGAAACAAAATTTGTCTATTAGAAAGTGCAAAATTTTAAATATATGAAATTAACAACATTCTCAAATTAACATTGTTCTCTTTAGAGAACACTTAGCTTTGAAATACAGCCAAGAGTAATCTATTTTCTATTTTTTTATTTCTGCTTCCTTCCTGTCTTTATAGTGTTTGTGAATTTGTATTTCTATGAAGTTTGTATATATTATGCATTTGAAAAAAATTAAATAAAAAAAGAAAATTGTAGCACACTAGACTTCTAAGAACATTTAAAAGACTAAGTCCAATTCCTAATTTTAGAGATGAAGACACTGAGGTCCAAAAACATGTCTGAGAGCTGGATACTGAAAGCAGGGGCAGTGTCATAGAAGCCGTGAGACCCAGTCTCTCAGGCCCAGCCCAGCATTCCACATGCCATCCTATTGAGGTACACATTAGCCAAACATCACTTAGACAAACAGACACTTCCATTCATGTTGGAAGGTTCCCTTCAGGGGTTTTACTATTAGAAAAAGCATGTGCAAGTATTTTTATTTCAAACTCAGGAAATGGAAACAACATTGAAAAGTATTTAAGTTCTCTAAATAGAACATTGAAATGATTCTAATGTTACTGTCCTCATTTTTAAAATGAGAGGGTTGCCCGTCCCTCCACCTATGAGCCAGGAGGTCACAGTTTGATTCCTGATCAGGGCACATGTCTGGGTTACAGGCTCAACCCCCAGTGTGGGGCATACAGGAGGCAGCCATTTAACTATTCTCTCTCTTCATTGATGTTACTATTTTTCTCTCCCCCTCAGTTACTCTCTGAAATCAATAAAAATATTAAAATGAGAGGGTTAACCATATGATTCTTGAGTCCTCTCCACCTTGACTACTCAAGAATTCTAAATATTGTTCCTTAACAATCCTGAACCTTCAATTATCACAATTATAAAACAGAGCTAATTGTATTTAAGAGGACAATGGTGACAGTTAATAAGAGGATACATAGAAAGTACATTTAATTCCTTCAATAAAAAAACAGTGTAAGAATAAACAGTAAACCACTTACAGCAACTCAAAAGTAATAGGAACTATAGAACATAATCAACTTTAGATTAAATTGTATGGATTATTATTTCTTGGAGGGTTATTTCTAACAAATGTTCAATTTCAGGTTGATTCTCTGCCACTTAGCATGCATCAGGATAGTGAGATGAACTAAAAAAACACTAGCCACTTTGATATTTAACAAAACTAGCTATTATTAAAAAAGTAATTTGTTATATTTTAAAAATATAAATGCCAGAACTATGGTTTAATAGCATTTTGCTTGCTGTTGGA